TATTTTATAAAACGATATGTCGAGAGTAAAAGAGAAGTAATAACATTTTAAAGTAATAATTAAATGTTGTTAAATCCTGAATAAAATAGATCACATATACCAAGAGAGTTCAGTTCAAATTTTGGTGATCATCATCTTATACGAATTTTTTTTTAAGTTTGGAACTACTGTTACTCTGTCCAAGTTCATATTCGTCTAGACTTAGAAGAATTTCTAGCATTGCATAAAAAAAGTTCTCCGTCAACAATTTGAAGGAAAAGCATTCTAGTTCCAGTGTATTCAACTCTGCTACAATCTTCACTACTTTTTGTAGAAGAACCATTTTTCTTGTAATTTGGGTTTCATCACGGTCAATTGGATTCTGAACCTGAGTACATCACTGAGGTCCTACTACAGGCTCTATTACTTATATATATATATAAACGTATGTACATACATAACAAATTGAAAAATAATATTATTTAAATTAAAATTATCTTATTTTTAGCAATACCAGGAGTAATTCTGTCGCCATCAATAAGGCACAGATCGCCTTATAATAATGAGGCAACTATCGCCTTCATTTTAAATATATGGACCTTGTACCATATATTTAAAATTATTGAAAATGATATTGTACTTACATTGCTGACACTGGTGAGTACCCATCTCCTCTTGGAGCTCTAACTTCCACTTCCTTCAGGAGCTCCTCTGGTCGACCTTTTCACCTCACTGTCTAATTTAATACTGTCCTTCTTTTCCATATTATTTCAAACGTAATTAGTCTTAACCCTTCTCTACCGCTACATGAGCTATCCTTCTTCTAACCTGGCCTTAAGAAAGGCGAAGATAACTAATAGTAATAAATGAACATATAATAATAAATGTTAAATTGACCTGAGGGATCTTCCGGCATCAAAATAGACCGTACTTCTCTATCAACGAAAATTTTAATTTAACAAAAACTCAAAAAAAATAAATATAAACTGTAAACCTTAAACAGAAATAAATTTACTATAACGGTAACAACAATCTTGAAATACATTTCTTTGTCTTGCTAATTAATTTTAATAATTCTTCTTGCTAGTTATTTATCTACAAATAGGTTGGTCCTCCGGTTGCAGTTTTGTTGTTTCTTAGATCTGCGGCTATAAAACTCTTTTGAGTCCAAAGTAAAACAGTCTGCAGAAAGAATACAAACGCATTCGGCAGACTTTCAGCGGACAGTTGTCTGCAGGAAATCTGCGGGCTGTTTAACTTTGGTTACAAATCAAACATTGAAAAAATAGTCTCCTTTCAAACTGATATAACTGGAACATAGATTGTCTACCTTGTCTCTCAAGGAATAAAATTTCATCAGAAACTACTAAATGGAAACTACTAAAGCATTAATTAATTAGAATTCAAAGATTTACAATTAGAAATCAATATGGAAATGTGAGGAAATAATTGTCCACTAAATGAATAAATCTTCTTCAGATGCTCTTCTCAGAGGCTTAGGATTCTGGTTTTCTTAGATTTTGGGAGTTCTTTTTGTTGACGTATTTTCGCCAATTCAATCCAAGGACTCTTCACTAAAACATAATTCCTTCTTAATTAATCAAGTTTATAAATTTAAATTTCGTTAAATACAACGATCTGAAGCCAGAATACAATTCGAATAATTAAGCATTATTGATAAATATTTCAGCTTTTAAGTATCCTAATTTCCTATTTCGTTTTCTTACCAGTACTCTTAGTTCATAGGCTTCTTCTCTGTAAATTAAATAGAATTTGAATAAAAATAAATAATTAAATTACACATTTCTTAATTCGCAACGTAACACTGTGATCAAATTGATATTTCATCGTCCCATTGGAAAAAGTTACTCTTCAAAAAAAAATATCCTCAAAAATTTCCCATACCATTGAAACGCAAATATTCCCATCTTGCTGATGCCAAACATTTCCCAACTTCCCAAAGAAGTTTAGAACTTGATTTTAACCATCAAAGATTATCGATTATGGATTTGTAATTTCATCAAATATACGCATATCTTTTGGAATTTCAATTTCATTTGATTTTAATGTGAATAAGATTCTCACGTATCATTATAATTCTAAGGGAATATTTGTTTAATTACATGCATATCTACTTTCAATGCTTAAATCAATTTCTATTGATTTTATTTTTATGTCTCAAATTTGAAAAATTTAAAAAATAATTGAACCTTCTTTTCTAATGATGAAAACTTATAACATTTCCCTAGGCTGTTCCTCGTTTTAACTAAGTTAATCAAAACTATATACAGTTGAGAGGAGAACTAAGTTAATTAAAACTATAGTTGAGGCGATGCTAATAAATGAATAGAAAATTAGATAAAAAAAATTTTTTTAGTGGTAATTCCTTTTATCATTATAATAAATTACTTACAATTAAAATTATACGAATCCGGTATTAGTTACTAAAAATTTAAAAATTCAGACTTTCAGATCCAATGTAAACAAAACAGTCGAGGTCCTCCTATGAAAATTTCTATTCGGAAATTTTTTGGATTCACTAATTACAAAATTGATGTCATTTTTCAAAAATTCAAAATGGCGGATCCAATCTGGCGGACAAATATTCAAAAAATCAAGCTGCGCGCACAAAAATTGATACTCGGGAGTTTTAGAAGTCGCTGATTGTGAATTTGATGTTAGTTTAAAAAAAAAATTAAATTCAAAATGGCGGATCAAAAATGGCGGACAAATTTTTATCAAAATCAATCCAATTGGTCTAAAAATTGTGACACGCAAGTTTTCGAGGTCGCTGATAGCAAATCTGACGTTAGTTTTTCGAAATTCAAAATGGCGTATCCAATATGGCGGACAATTTTTTTTAAAAATTGATCCAATTTACTTGAAACTTGTCACTCGGGGGTTTTTGGGGTCGCTGATAGCGAATCTAACGTTAGTTTTTCGAATTTCAATATGGCGGATCCAAGATGGCGGACTATTTTTTTAAAAATTGATCAAATTTACTTGAAACTTGTCACTCGGGAGATTTCGGGGTCGCTGATTAAGAATCTGATGTTAGTTTTATGAAATTAAAAATGGCGGATCCAAGATGGCGGACTATTTTTTTTAAAATTGATCAAATTTACTTGAAACTTGTCACTCGGGGGTTTTCGAGGTCGCTGATAGCAAATCTGATGTTAGTTTTACGAAATTCAAAATGGCGGATCCAAGATGGCGGACTATTTTTTTAAAAATGGATCAAATTTACTTGAAACTTGTCACTCGGGGGTTTTCGGGGTCGCTGATTAAGAATCTGATGTTAGTTTTACGAATTTCAAAATGGCGGATCCAAGATGGCGGACTATTTTTTTTAAAATTGATCAAATTGACTTGAAACTTGTCACTCGGGGGTTTTCGGGGTCGCTGATTAAGAATCTGATGTTAGTTTTACGAAATTCAAAATGGCGGATCCAAGATGGACTATTTTTAAAAAATTGATTAAATTTACTTGAAACTTGTCACTCGGGGTTTTCGGGGTCGCTGATTAAGAATCTGATGTTAGTTTTACGAATTTCAAAATGGCGGATCCAAGATGGACTATTTTTTAAAAATTGATCAAATTTACTTGAAACTTGTCACTCGGGGGTTTTCGGGGTCGCTGATTAAGAATCTGATGTTAGTTTTACGAAATTCAAAATGGCGGATTCAAGATGGCGGATTATTTTTCTTCAAATTGATCAAATTTACTTGAAACTTGTCACTCGGGGGTTTTCGGGGTCGCTGATTAAGAATCTGATGTTAGTTTTACGAAATTCAAAATGGCGGATCCAAGATGGACTATTTTTAAAAAATTGATTAAATTTACTTGAAACTTGTCACTCGGGGTTTTCGGGGTCGCTGATTAAGAATCTGATGTTAGTTTTACGAATTTCAAAATGGCGGATCCAAGATGGACTATTTTTTAAAAATTGATCAAATTTACTTGAAACTTGTCACTCGGGGGTTTTCGGGGTCGCTGATTAAGAATCTGATGTTAGTTTTACGAAATTCAAAATGGCGGATTCAAGATGGCGGATTATTTTTCTTCAAATTGATCAAATTTACTTGAAACTTGTCACTCCGGGGTTTTCGGGGTCGCTGATTAAGAATCTGATGTTAGTTTTACGAATTTCAAAATGGCGGATCCAAGATGGACTATTTTTTAAAAATTGATCAAATTTACTTGAAACTTGTCACTCGGGGGTTTTCGGGGTCGCTGATTAAGAATCTGATGTTAGTTTTACGAAATTCAAAATGGCGGATTCAAGATGGCGGATTATTTTTCTTCAAATTGATCAAATTTACTTGAAACTTGTCACTCCGGGGTTTTCGGGGTCGCTGATTAAGAATCTGATGTTAGTTTTACGAAATTCAAAATGGCGGATCCAAGATGGACTATTTTTAAAAAATTGATTAAATTTACTTGAAACTTGTCACTCGGGGTTTTCGGGGTCGCTGATTAAGAATCTGATGTTAGTTTTACGAATTTCAAAATGGCGGATCCAAGATGGCGGCCAAAAAAATCAAGCTGCGCGCACAAAAATGTGCCTAAATACATAAAATCCAGTCTGTGGAAAATCTTTTCAGCTTCACCATACTTTTAGAAATACTTTTAATTTTATTTTCTTCTGGAATTTGTAAATTTAAATTCGTTAAAGGATTAAAATAATTAATTATCTGAAATGAAATTCAATAAATTAGTGATAAAGGTATCTAAATTAAGTCAGGTGTCAGTTTACTCAAAAAAAAAAAAAAAAAAAACGGTAAAATCCAGTGATAAACTTCTACCATCGGAGGGTTAACATGTTTTTTTCGCGTTTTTTTTTCCTTTTATTTCAAGTTCCATCGATAGTATTGGTTCGATTGGTTCGTGGTCATCGGGTGGTTCGAGATCGTTTGCAAGGGTGGTTCGACGTCGGTCGCGGTCGGCGCTCCCTGGAGGTGGCAAGAGTCGACCTCCTCCAACCACCAAGGCTGGAAATTTAGCTAAGCGCTCGCGCAGTTGTTCCGTGCGCTCCACCACGAGAGCAGTTCTATTTACCGTTCCTATTCATACACAAGCTTTTGTCTTCTCATTGAGGCACAAAATAAAAATAAAGAAATTAAAAAAAAAAAAATCATCATGAAAAATTCTTAATGACGATTTAAAAACAAAAAAAAAATTAAATTTTAATTCTAATAAAAATGAACAAAAAAAGGTGATTACAGTGAATAATTAATGGCACGTGGACACTTTTTCCAAGTGTTTGTGATTTAAGGTGGCTTAAAAAAATGTGCTAAGTGAGTGAAAGTGAAATTTACTCATCATAAACGGATAGAGATGAGTAGAGAAGGTGGAAAAAAATTTCTCCTCCAAGAGTGGAGCACGTGGTTTTATTATGGGAATTAGCAACGTATGACTTAAAAATTCTCCTTAAAAAAAATTTTTTTAATTTAACAAAAAAAAATAGTCCCTAAACGAGATGGCAGTGGGAAAAAAACTTTTATTCATGTGCGATTTAAACCCAACAAGGTGTGTTTGTAAAAACAAAATTTTTGCTTTTTAATTTCATTTTTGAATAGAAATTATACTTGACTTAAAATTTATTTTAACTTTATTTGTTTTTTTTTCTAATTTTTTGTAAGAAAAATTTTCTTTTTATAACGAATTTTACAATTAACGTTTAATTTGATCGTTATATTTTTAATGTAACGTTATTTTTTATTTTTCAAATTCTTTTTTTTATTTACTGCACTTGTTAGTAAACGGGAAGAATCACAATATGACGTTAAATGAAGGTAGTTCAAAGTTCGAACAATCGTGTCATATTCTAGCATTTAATATTCAACTTTGTTTTTAAACTCTATTGAAATTTTCAATTAAAATATTTTATGTAACAACAAAAATTGTTTTTCGAAATATATGACAGTGTATTTTTAAGTAATTTTTCAAATAAACATTTTTTTTTAACTTTTTTTATATATAGTATCAGAAAAGAGAATAAAAATTTAAAACGAATAAAATATAAAAAAAAAAATTTATATTCCCAATTTTTAGAAACTGAATAATAAAATTTTTTTTTACATCTAAAAAAGTGGTTTAAACTTTTCTCATTATTTGAAAATATAAAAAAATTTAACTTTCAATTGTAAAATAAAATTTATTTATATATTATGATCAGTTAATGGTAGAAATTTTTTTTTTTACGAATTTGGTTAAAATAATTATGTTTGAATTTAAAAAAAAAGTGAAAATATGTGAATAATTTCAAAAAGGATAAAATTTTACGAAGAAAATAAATTTTGACGCCGCCCAAGTAAAAAAAGAAAAAAACTATGTAAAAATTTTCAAACAACTTTGACACATTAAAAGTGCACATGAAGTTTTTAAATAAAAGAATTTCTTCTTTTTTTTATTATTACTAGTTTTCTTTTATTTTTATCTGTTAAATAAGTATTCGCAAGTTGAACCCATTATGTAAAAAAAAAACTCACAACAATTTGCATTTGTAAATTATAATTTTATTTAATTTTAATTTATCTGAAATTTGTCTAAGCGTAAAAAATGAAAGAAATTTATATTCTTAGAATCGATTTTAATAATCTTTCAATCTCGAATGTTCGAAACGTAAAGGTAAACTAAGAATTTTCGTTTTTTTAACTTTTTCCCAATTAAAAAAAAAAAATTTTTTTTTAACATAACGAGTTCGATTTTTTTTAATTTTCTCAAGTTCAAAGGATATTAGACTTTTGCAATAGGAATTTATCCATAGAAAATTTTACCGGCAATTATATCTCGAAAAGTTTTGCTTAGGGTCTTTGATTACAAGAAGTCAGTTTATCAAATTCAAAATGGCGATTCCAATATGGTGGACATTTTTTTTTAAAACTGACTTGATTCGCTTGAAATATGTTACTCGGGGATTTTTAGGGTCGCTGATTACAAATCTGTCATCGTATTATGAAAATTCAAAATGGCGGATTCAAAATGGTGGAGAAATTTTAAAAAAGTTAAACCAAGCTCACGAAAATAATTACTCAGGGGTTTTAGAGGGTCAGGAATTACGAATCTGATGTCAGTTTTTAAAAATTCAAAATGGCGGATCCAATATGACGAAAAATATTTTAAAAAGTTAAATTAACCTCGCAAAAATAATAAGCTCAGAGGTTATAAGGGTCGCTGATTACAAATCTGATAATAGTTTTTAAAAATTCAAAATGGCGTTTCCAAAATGGCGACCGAATTTTTCAAAATTCGTAAAATTTACTTGAAACGTATTACTCGTCGATTTTTCAGATCGCTGATTACAAATTTGCAGTCAGTTTAAAGAATTTCAAAATGGCAGCTACAATATGGCAAAATTTTTTTCAATTTTATCGAATTTACTTTCAGAGTTTTTAGAGACGAATATTTCGTATCAAATAAAATTTTTTTTTTTACAAATTCAATACTGTTAGAAGTTTTTATTATTATTTTTTTTAATTCTACTATTTTTATTTATTATTTTTTTAATTTTACTATTTTTTATTATTAAGTCTAGCTGATTACAAATTTGACATTATATTTTGTAATATGAGTTCATTAAACCAATATTTTACGATAAATAAGTGACATATTTAGAACGGTCGCTGTTTATATATAAACAATTTATCACATTGAAGTAATTAATATTATTAAATGGCCTGCACTGAGAATATTTAGTGCAATATACATATAATTAAATCCCTTGAATATTGTTGGAAGCTATTCGCGTTATGTCAAACCTATATTATAAAATTAACAAAGAGGAAACCAGACATTGTTGTTGGTAAATTTTGAAAATCCATCGTTGATAAACGATGAAAGTTAAAGTGCCAAATATAGAGAGATCAAAGTACCACTTTATGGTAATGATAATGATAAAGAGGATGCTAATAATGGAGATTTTAATTGACATTGTTTGCACACATTATCGTGTTCTTTTTTTTGAAAAAAATAAAATTTATTAAAAAATACAAAAAAGACGCTAGAAAAATTTTAGAATTTTTTTTTTTATTAGTTTGCAACATCTTTTTCCATGTAGCTATTTTCTTTTTTTTTCTTTTTGTTCAGTGGATTTAAAAAAAAAATTATTTTTCTCGTATAATTTAAATTTAATGAAATTTAAGCAAAAATCATCTATTTTCACAAGGGTTATTTCACCATCGTTGATGTGAGTGCACAGTAATTATATTCGTTTTGCGGTCGACTATAATTTGAAATGATTTCAAGCATATGAAAATTAACGATCGCACGAAATTATATATGTAAATTTCATTCTACTATAATGCGTCGAGCTGCACTTTTAATTGAAGTTTAACTTCTCGCCTCCGTCCTCCGGCGATTTTAGCGTAATTTAATACGCTCGTGAGAGCATCGCTAATTTCATTTACACCATTTGTACTGTACGATTGCGACTACTACTATGTGTGTATATGTATATAGCTAAAAGAGACTAAGGGAAGGGAGAAACAAAGTGAATTGCCAGTTGTCTCTTCCTTCCTTTTCTTTTATATTGCATATATATATATATACGACAAAGTCACTCATCTCCATTAATGCAACTTGTGTTGTTCAATATTACGATATCGATAATATCCTTTCGATATATTTTATATCGATATTCACATTAGGAAATGACTATTTCACAATATTCCAAATAGAAAATAGTTTATGGGTTTTAATATTTTTTTCTCTCATATTCAAGATACTTGGAACGCGGCATTTTACAAAGAACATAAAATAAAATTTATTAGTTGCAATAATAAATCTCACAAATCTTAAAGTTGAGATTATTTTTACAATTTTTTTGTTTGTTCTTTTAATACTAAAATCTGAATAGTGACAGTTTTCTATTGCACTAGATTATAAATTATCTGCTTTAATTCACCGGTACTTTTTCACTGTGAAACTGGCGCTGCAAAGGTCAAGTACCAACTAATGTATCTTATTCTCAACAGGCCCTAGTTCCTAAATATTTTACTATAGTTTGCAGAAATATATTCTCTACTAGATTTAATAGCTTAAACCTTCCATTTTTCAATTTTGATTTTTAGCCAGGTTTTTTGGGATATGGTCCACTGTGAACTATACTGAATTCGGAATTAATCCAATTCGAAGTAAGTTCGATCAAACGTAACTAGTGAATGCAGATTCTAGATTTACTGATTTTAAGGCCGGAATAATTTTTGATTCAATAGAAGTAATTTTGAATTTATTAGTTGTGTATGATTCGATTAATTTTGGATTTAGTTAAATAAAACCAAATCATATAGCTCAGAATTTCTCCTAAGAATATTTAAATTACAAATAAATACCAAATTTTCCAGATAAAGATATCAGATTATTACGAATCCACTTGGAAAGATTCCCCGGAAAGTGACCCCTGGAAGTTCTATCAGAATTCCGCCGGAACATCCAACGTAATTCCGTCGGAATTCCATCGGAGTTCCAAAGAATTTCCGATGGGATTCCAACGGAATTCCGATGGAATTCTGACGGAATTAGGACTCTAAAAATTTTGAAAAAGATTAATCAGAATTCCGGCGGAAATTCTTTGGAACGAACAACAACAAACAATAACACCAAGATCACAAATCTAATCCTTCTTTTCCATTTTGGAAATTTTTGATTATTTTTTGATCTAACTAAAATCAAATTGTTGCATGCTAATTGCGGATTTATTTTATGTCAATTTGGGACTATTTCGAACTGATTAAACTGAATAAAATGGATTTTTATTCAGTTCACATAGATTTTATTAAATATTTGGAGGTTGCAGCGAAAATTCACAGATTGATTTAGTTCAGTTAATTTTAGATTTTTTTATTATTAATTTTGTAAATTTATTTGATTTATGTCCCTAATAACACAAGATATCTTGGGATATATTGACAATATCCCGCAGATATCCCAGGGATGTCCTATGGATATCAAAAGGATCTCTTAAGGATATCCAAAAAATCGGCGGTTTGGATATCCTTTGGATATCCCATGGATATCTGAGGATATCCACAGGATATCTTCTGAATATCTCTATAGACTTTCATAAATGTCCTCCAGATATCCCATAGATATCGTCAGGATATCCCACAGATATCATCAGGATATCCCACAGATATCATCAGGATATCCCACAGATATCATCAGGATATCCCATAGATATCGTCAGGATATCCCACATATATTTTCAGGATATTCTCAGTATATCTTCTGGATGTCAAGAAGATATTCTCAGGATACTGATTTTAAAGTCATTATGAGACTACGAGTGAGAATATTCTGTGAATTAAATTTTATATAAGAATATCCCACGGACATCCTGAGGATATCCTGCGATATAATATCCAATAGATATTTTGTGGATGTCTTAGGGATATCCTGTGGATATCCTATGGATGTCCTGTTGATGTCCCACAGACCGGCGGTTTGGATATCCTAGGGATATCCAATGGATATCCTGTGAATATCCTAAGAATATCCCACGGACATCCTGAGGATATCCTGCGATATAATATCCAATAGATATTTTGTGGATGTCTTAGGGATATCCTGTGGATATCCTATGGATGTCCTGTTGATGTCCCACAGACCGGCGGTTTGGATATGCAATGGATATCCCAAGATATCCTGGGGACCATTCTAGGATATCGACCATTGATATGGATATCCTATGGATATCCTAGGGATATCCTTTTGTTATGAGGGGTAAACTTTGTTTCCTAATTCCTGTTCAATGAGTCATCGTGGGAAATTATATTTTTATTCCAATGATGATTGGAACACATGTTATCTATTGAAAAATAATAATTATCTATCAAGATTCAAGAAAATATTTCAAATTTTACCGCCTATTTTTGATGTGTTATCCATCGACCAATCAAAAGATCGAAACCTATTCCATATTCCTAAAAATCCATGGCCGATGGCCGAAGAATATTTACATCGTGACGCGGTGAAAGAGATTCTCATTCTGGTGTTCGTAGAGTACAGTTAGTTGTTCTTTTTTTTTTGGTAAATAATTAAAATGTAACGTGTAATGATAGGACAAGGAGTCCTCTTTCTCCTCAACTGGACGGTGAGTCCCAAATAATTAATTAGGTTTCGTTTCCTTCTGAATCGATATCATTGTTATAAAAATTTGTAAATTTGTAATTAATTAAATGCAAATCTTACTTTTCCGGCCTTTAGCCTCAGTTTAATTACTGGGTTTTTTTTGCGGAATTTAAATAATAAATATTATATATTAATAATCGGAATTAACCCCAACATGAAGTGATGTTTAATAATTAATGTAATTATTATAAATTCTGTGCAATTAATTGTGTTTCTCCATACTTCTCCTTTTCCTCGGTCCATTGTTGCCGTAAGCTAACAATAGAGTTCCTTAACTGGTTATTGATCAAAATATAATAATTTGCATTTCGAGTTATTTGAATTTTTCTTTTGATTGTTTTTCTGCAAAATAATCTGTCGTCTTGGATCTCGTAAATAAAATAATTGAAAGTGTAGATAACGATTGTTTCGATTCAATAATAAATTGCCACAAATAATAAAAATAATAATAATAGTAATAATAATAAATTGTAAAAATCAATAAATCCTCTCAATTGAAAATTTTAAAATAAATTTTTTCATTCTTCATTCATTAATTATAATTTATAAAAATTGTATTATAAATTATCTTCTTTAAAATTAACATTGTCTTAAGATAAAATTCTTTTTTTGTTTCTTAAAGAAAAAAAAAAGTGGTTAACAATATCTTTAGTTTCTTTGATGTAAAAATTTAAGTTCGACTTTCCTCTCGCGAATGTCTTGATTATAACTCGATTTTAAATTCTGCTTTTCAGAAAGGTACACGGAAAGAAGTTTTGATGGAACTTTTCTTATTAACTATATATATAAAAGAGAAAAAAAAGAAGAAAAACTTATTTCTCTTTGTCAGTCAGAGGTTTTTAACACACGAAACTTAATTTTTTTTTAGATATATAAATATATGAAATGGATGGTAATTATTATTTTTTTTTATTTATCTAAATAATTGAAGTTCCTAGCGCTAAAAAGCTCTCCGAGGAACAATTACATATTTATATACATATATTCGAAGAATTATAACAATATAATAAAATTCAGAATGAAAACGTAATTAGTAATTACCGAATAAAAATATTTAAATATAAATTTAAAAATTTTGTGAATTAAATAAAAAAGAATCTAAAATTGAAGGAATTAAAAAAATAAATATTTACGGATTGGTGAATGTAATACCAAATATTGACAAATGCACATAAAAACTTTTTTTTTATTTTCATGTAGCATTGAACTGAAATTTTGTTGTGACAATAAAATTCAGAGAAGTGTACAAACTTGTAGTTTTATCTTCTTTCAAGTTATAACAAAGCACAAGTTACACGATAACGTGAATGGAATTTTTTAAGCCTTTAACTTTGTTTCCGAATTTTAGGGGAAAGGAAAAAGTGTATATATATGAAATAGAAAATTCCCCTCCTTTCAATAATAATAAATAAATAATTAATTTAAAAAAAATCAAACTCGTTTTTAAAAAATTCTTCCGCCATATTGGAACCACCATTTTGAATTTTTAAAATGATATTTAAATAGAAATATTTAATAGTAATTTATATTCTTAATTATACATTGTTTAATCTGTGATAAATATATTATATATAATAGTATAATTGTATTATGCAAATTAAAGTGACGGAAAAAAAAATTCAGGAGCAAAAAAAAAAGTCGTTGGTACATTCGATTTTTCTCTATAGAGATATACGAACTGATACCTCTCTCTCTCTCGAGTAATGAAAGAATCTCGAGAGTCGTTTCTATGTACCGCGCGCGCTTGCATTACTGCGTTTGGTTTTAACGCGTGAATTCAATCAAAATGAAATTACGATCGTCCTCTACTTCGAAATTGCGTTTCTGCATTGTAGAGAGTACTAATTGCATTCGTCCGAAAATTGAAGCCATTATCGTTTCGATTATGCTTCGATAATTAAAAACTCAACACACTTCACGAGACATTTGTGTAGGGATTTTTTTTTTTTTTTAATTTATTTTTAATCATACATAGTGTAAGCAATTCATTAAAACATTAAATTGCATTACTAAGCAAATTAATCTAATTATCCATTGTCATGCTTAATTTATTAATTTATGTATTTTCAATATCGATTTTCCTTCTATTATTATTCTTGTTTTAAAAAAAATTTAATTTTTAAATATATTTTTAGTTTCTAACAATTATCGTCGATAAACAAAAAGTTTCTAAAAATTGGGATCTGTAAAATAGTATTTCTTAAGTGCACTAAAAGAAGTGGATTAAAATTGTTTAAAAGAATTTTTTTAAATCTGAATACATAAAATTTTAATTACTGAGTAAATTTTTGTGAATTAGTTGTAAATCTCGTAATAGAAAAATAAGTGTGACATGATAAAATACAGGGTTCAATCGATTCGGCGAGGATAGAAGAATTAAACGTAAAAGAAAATAATCTTGGAGGCTCAAGATTCTGGGAAATGAATCAAAAACGATGGCTTATCGAAACGAGAAGAATGAATTTACGACAACATGAAAGAGGAAATGGATGTATGCATTTCAAGATGATGTATACCATCTTTCTTGTCATCTTCCTTTACAGTGAGTATAACTTCAACTTCAAAGACTTCTTTACATTTTGACAAACATTCTTTTTTTTTTAAAGTGTAAGATTTACACTTTTTCTTTTGATGTAATTTTTTACAAATTCATAAAAACCAAACCCACTTTCCCTTTTTCGTAAAAGTTGGTTTAATGACACTGTTATGTAGCACAAATAATTATTTTATACAATAAAAATAATTAAAAGTGAATTATAATTATTGTATTTTTGAGTCTGGATTCTCATTCAATAACTCGGGAATTATTTCAATTGAATTCTATTAAATTTATTTAAATTTGAAAATTAAATAAGGAATTACACATTTTGCAAAGAAAGAAAATTTGATAACTACGACGATTATAAGTAGTTTTTTTAGGAATCATAGGTTTTAATAAAATTGGAAACAATTTGGAAATTATATTCAATTAAAGAAATAACCGCCCATATTGTGACGTAAAGTTTTATTAATTTTACCACTTACAATTTTTTATTTGTATTTAAAATTTTATTAAATGGGTGAAATTTATTTGGTTGTCATGGATTTTATTAAATATTTGGAGATTGCAGCGGAAATTCCCAGATTGATTTACTTTAGTTAATTTTAGATTTATTCATTAATCATCGTGGGAAATTAAATTTTTATTCCAAGGATCATGGGACACCTGTTATCTATTAAGAAATAATAATTATCTATCGAGATTCAAGAAAATATTTCAAATTTTACCGCCTATTTTTGATGTGTTATCTATCGACGAATCAGAAGATCGGAATCTATTCCATAATCCTTAAAATCCATGTCCCAAGGCCCAAGGATATTTGTTACTTGTATCCTGACGCGGTGAAAGGGATCCTAATTCTCATACTGGTGTTCGTAGAGTACAGTCAAGTTTTTTTATTTTTTGTGAAATACCCGACAAGAAGCCTGGAATAGAAAAGAATTAAAGTTATCTCATATTCGTATACGAAATTAAAAAATTTTAATTCCATTTAATACCTGATTTTTCCACTTTTTTGAAGTCATCGAAATAAGATAAATGGCCAACGAAATGAATTCTAAAATCCAATAAATAAATTATTAATAAAATGTTTTCTATTCATTTAAATATATTCTATTCATATTCTATTTGATATTGCTTTCCGAAAACGGAATTAAAAGTTATTCATGTTTGTTGCTGTCTATTCCTTATAAAGACTTACGAAATAACAAATAAATCAGGTATTAAATGGAATTGATTTTTTTAAATTCCTTTTAAATTTTAGCCTTCTTGCCGGGTAATTAAAATGTAACGTGTAATAATAGGACAAGACGTTATCGTCCTCGTCAACTGGACGTTGAGTCCCAAATAATTAATTAGGAATCGTTTCCTTCTGTGTCAATCTGATTACAATAAAAATAGTAGAGGAAACTCAGTACAGTTGAGCCACGTTTTTACTTGTAGCCATAACTTCCGTTCTAAGCCGAATTTCGGATTTTTTCACGTATGGTTGGAAAGATCTTTTCAAGTGCGACATTTTCTCTGGACAACAGAAAATGATTGGACCAAAAGTGTAAAAGTTATAGCCATTTCAAAAAAATAAATTTTGTCGTTACGGTCGGACCAGGGATTCACGGTTGGGCCACCGTACAAAATCAATATTATATGAAGGAAAATGATTAAAAATAGCCCGCCACAGAAGAAACATAGTATTATTTTCATCTCTGAATCTGTATAATATTTGCCTGCAACAAATTGTACCCTAATTGAGGGCGCCACTGTCTATGTGAACTAGCATTCGTTAAAATAGTATTTTTCGCGCAATAAAGTTTATACAAACTTTATTTGTTTGTACAAATTTCAAAAAATCGTTTTAGGAACGTTCCTAAAACGTAAATCTTTTTTGCCCACTGGTAAATGACGTTTTTGACACATCGCTACGTCGAAAAATGAATTTATGATGTCAGGACGTATCATAATTGCAAAATTTTAAGTGGCCCAACCAACACTACATTTATTGGCCCAACCAACACTATCACGTCGTTTTACTTTTTTATTACACAGACAAAAAATGAATGATACAAACATCAAATATGGCACCACATTTTCAAAGAATACTCTAACGAACAAACTTAGTCAACTTACTTTATTGTTTGCATATTCTTCTTTTTGTTTAATTCACTTTTTCGGACACCACAAACAAGTTTTCCTTTTAATCTTAAGCGCACTTTTACAAAACACGTCTACACAAATTGCGCATTTCACTGACAATGAGACTTGCTAAAAGTGACGTGACAAGTTTATAACCATCGCTAGTAAGTATTTGCATGCAAACGTAGATGGCGCTAATGTGAAAGGGCTTTAAACGCAGTACTGGCCCAACCATAATGGTGGCCCAACCGTACTGCGACTCTCCTCTAACTTTTGTAATTAATTAAATGTGAATCATACACCTATTTTCAATCTTCAGACGATTTCCATTGTTCACGAAAAAATAAATTTCACCAAATTGTGATAAAAATGTTCACGTCATTGATGTACTTTTATTTTTATTTCCATCATATTTAATTGGATGATTATTTTCCGATTCGATAGAAAAATTCCAGTGGAAAAATCCTTTAATAAATCTTTTTAAAAATAAGAGAAACTTATTTTATCTTGAAAAAAAAAGTTATATTCTTTTTATGAAACGTATATAGCAGATAGTTCGGAATACTTGTTATTCCTGAGGGAAATTATAGAAAAAGAATTCAAGGGATAAAACTCAATCTCGCACATTGTTTGGCAAATTAATAATATCCAAATGATGTTAAAATTGTTATTGATTCTTCGTTTGGAATAAATAATAGAATATCAAAATTTATATATATATATATAGGATTTGTTTAAAGTGATAAAAGTAAAAAATAATCTTCAATTTTACAGAAGGAACAAATGAATCGCAGGTTTTCTTTTGAAGTAATAAAATATAATTTGTGATTGTGAAATTAGCAATAATGATGGAATTTTCAAGAGTTCAAATTTTTTTTTACCCAAATAGCATGTTGACGTGTAGTTTATTAATAAATAAAGTGGCAATTGTTTTAATGAAAAAGCTGTTTGGTAGAAAAAAAATTGAGTGAAGAAAATGGAATGAATATAATGAGTGAGAAAGTAGTAGAGGAAAACAACGATTCAAGTATGGTGAATTTGCGTTTTAGGTGGACGGCCAACATCGTCGTCGTCGTCGATGTAAATGTAACCACATTTTAAATAGCATTTCCGCATGGTAAGATGGTGCTTTGTCGGGTTCTTCTTGCGGCAGGTGCACAATTACTGCGGGCGCCACGAATGTACTTTTCATGCTAATAAACTTAAGTAACGAACGTCCTTCGTGTTGTGGCAAGTTGAAGTACTTGGCTCGGTTGGACTCAGCGGTTGGGATTATGAGCCGGATAAAATAAGGGAGACACTGACTGCCCTCGTAAGTTACATAAGATGAACTCTAAGAAGGTGGAAACCTCAAAACACACCCTCTCTCATTCAGTGTGCCTTAAAATTATTACAGTTTAACATTCTTGAAAGTGCACAATTTAAAAAAAGAAATCATAATTACTTTAATTAAGCCTAAAACTGTGTCACTATTTCAGTCGCAAGTTTCACTACTGCAATTAGGTAAACTATTTCTAATGACTTCAGCTCGACATTTATATACTCCCTTTAACTTGACACTTTTACTCCATTTACCCTCTCAACATTCATCCCCTTTTAAATAAGAGTTAGAATTTTTTAAACAGCAATCTTTTTTCCATTTGCTTTTTTCACCAGTCTTTAAATGATTTTAAAGAATTTGGAGATATGGCAAAATAATGTCGACTTTATTTCGAAGATTCAATAAATTGTTAAATTAATTGTGATTATCGAATTTTTGACTACTGCTTGATAATTGAATTGGTGACTCATTTTTTTAAATTATTTGTTTATAAATAACTTAATTGGTAAATATGCAAAATATTATTTATACGTTACGGTGACATGACATTCCAATTAAGAATTGTATATTCCAAAAGAAATATGTATTTCAATCTAAAAATACTTCTTTTTTCTGCTTTGTAGTCAATTTAATATTTGATGCAAAGAAAATAACCATTAAAATGGCAAAGAGTTATGATAGAGGAAAAAAGAAGAAAAACACAGTAAATGTGATAATATAATCCGTAATGTTTGATGGATATAGGCATTGCATACCGTACTCTAAAACTATGGCTTTCTGTTATGTAGAATGTTGTGTATATATATGTTAACTGAATAAAAGGCAGTTTGAGAATCGACAATGAAAGTTCACCGTAGGCAAATGCAACGCCAGGATACCTCGAATCTCCATTAGGAAATGGAAAATATCAGAAACTTGGCCTTTATATATATATGTTCGAATATGAACAATATATGGAAACAGACGATATCCGTCAAGCTATCGGAATTTAGTTTTGCATAATTCTCTTTTCTCTGATAAATCCAGTGTGTTTGTTGTCTAAAACCAGTATTTTTCTCATCAAAAAACAGTAAACTTCAATTGCCAATTGAAAAGTTATCTTTCAATATTGAACTCGTTTTTTGCTATTTGAAAAATTATTTAAAATCCCTAAATCAATGACAAATATTTTTATTCACGATAAATCTTGACGCAAAAAAAAAAATTATGATGAAAAAATTGTAATTAACCTTTTGTCAGAAGATGATATAAAATCTCGTATAGCAGTAGAAGCGATAGGAAATGAATTTCTGGAAAATCGAATAGCGCTAGATTTTGAGAAATTGAATCTGTGTGAACATGGAACGACGTAGAAGGAAGACGAATCGTCCTTTAAGAGCAGTTAATTAATCCAAGTCTGCAGTTAATTCGATGGAAGGACTTAGTTCCAGTGCGCGATTCCCGCGAATGACCCAGTTGTGGACATTGCTTTCGCTTCGTTGGCAAACAAGGCTGAGGAAGATTAATCATCATTCACGGGGAATATAAGGGAGTGGAACTCTACAACACTAAA